ACCTACAACTCCAAGCATTCCCAGCCAAATGGTGGCACTTGAAGGACTTTTTTCTGTCTAAATGTGTATAGGATTGCACCCAAAATTATTGTGAGTACCCAAACATGTTTTGAAATGCTCCGATAATCCCATATTTGACCATTCTGTGTTGGCCATCTGAGTCGCAATGGCACTGTCCTGCTCCTCTGTACAGTAAAAAGGCATTGTTTGACTTTTCGGTTTGACATGGTGCTGAGCCTGATCCTAACTCCCAGATATAAACTGTGTTAGTACCACAGCAAAATGTACATTTGACTCATTCAGTCAAGTGGCAACATCAAGGTGACCTTGCCTGGCCTGAGTTGTTTGGAAGGGCTGAATGGGGGCCTTTTACCCAAATTCTAGCCACATTTGAGTGGCTGACAAAATAAAAATAAAAATATGCATGATCTGTTTTAAAGCAGATCGATAGGCAGTGCTCAATAGCAGCAATTATACAGGATGCTGAGGTTAATGTCGCTATTAGATGTGAGGAAGAGAAGAATCCATATCAGAATAATTTCCTCTAATTGCGAACATATGCCTGTCCAGTTTGGAAGCAAAGCAGGGCCACCCAAAAGTACAGTAGCATGTATGCTTTCCTGGGGGAATCCCTAGCAGTGCAGACTGTGTCTTAAAAGAATAGAAAATATAAAGTAATCAGGAAACCCAATACCTAGGACTTACATTGAGTTGCTGGTAACTGAGTTTGTATAAATAATACAGAATCACAGTAACTCACCCCATTGTCTGAAGGTGGAACTTCCAAGTTTCAGGTTTACATTGAATAGGAATTCCTGTTCTTTCCACTACCTTTTGTTTGTATTTTCTATGATTCTGTATGAGCCACTCTCACTTTTGCTGTGGAGGATGGGAGGACCATTGGAATTGGCCCATTCAGGCACCTAATGGCTTATAGTTGGGGCTGGCAGATTAGGAGCTACTGGTAGATTTCTGTGAGGCTCTTAATTGATTGTAACTAGTTTTGTTTTGTTTCAGAATTGAGATCTGAGCACTTCATGCAGAATATTTCTTTGCCGGTTTTTCTGCTATATAACCTTTAGGTGGCATTGTGATAAAGCAGATTAGTGTGAATTCACATGTGAAGAAAGCAATTTCTTTCACTTTTACAGTGAAATATTGCATTTTTCCTCTTGTAAAAAAAAAAAACTTGCAAAAATTGCTCTTTCAATATGGAAACAAAACTTTGTGTGAGGGGAGGGGGGGTAAAGCACACATAAACAACCTTGAGGAAGAAATGAACGGTGCACAATAAACACCTCTTATAGAAAAGTCCTGAACGATATGCACAAGATTGGCAAGGATTGAAGGCTACCAGTTACACAATACTGGCAATTCCCCTGTTCTAAATTAAACAGCTGTAATGAAAGTTTCTGCAGAGGGTGAGAATAATTTTTTGTGTGATACTGTGAGTTCTATTCACTTCTGGCACTCAAATCAAATTCCTGTGCTCAAGATACGTATCTATTGCACCTGGCATCCCTTGATAGATCTTACAAGTCTTAGTAGAAAACAAAGATCTTGCAAGCCTGAAATCTAGCTATGCCTAGTTTATAGTAACATTTGGTGGGTGGGAGGGGAGAGAATTTGGGTTTGGGGGAAATAGATGCTCTGAGGTTACCCACCCCCTCCATGTGCTATACTTCGTAAAGGTAAGTTTTAAAATGAAGGAAAGGAAAAAGAACATCTTCTCCCTTTCCCCCTTCTCTGGAACACACACACACAGAGCCAGTATATTCCTCACATTTAGCGTTGCAGCTAGCCCTCAGATTGAGCCCTTTTGCCATATATAACTGAGCAGGGTTAAACCTTGGGATAAGAGGGGGGAGAATCCTTCCCCCTTTTCTCCTGAGCCTCCGTCATTTTCAAGAAACATTACTATGAAGACAAGCCTCTTGCTTCAGCTTACATAAGAGTCCTGAGCAGAACCACTTGTGTTAAGAGGCGAGTTCATGCTGCAGTGTTTTACTGCAGGACTCCACCTGTGTTTTAGTAAGGCCATTTCCTCACATCCATTTTGGCTAGAGGGGCGGGACAGAACAGCAGTAAAGAAATAAATCTCAACACACTGGAGCTTCCCATCAGGGCAAGGATATGCAGATGAAGGTCTGACTGAGTGGTTTCCAGAAAGGGGCTGTGGCACAGAGTTAAAAACCTGCATTCTGGAAGGCAGCTGAGTGGAAGGGGAGCACAACGGATCATTCACTGCAGACCCCGGCTCTGCTCAACAGAGGAGACATGTTAGCCCTACACCATGCGGTCTCCTGTCTGCACTGGAAAACATCGCTGATGGGAAAAGCTCATCTATAATCAGGGAGTGAGTGGCATGGCCCCCACTGGTGGGGGACTCCATGGGGAGAACAGCGTGCTGCTTTTGGGGATCTGCAGTGGTTGTTCCACTAAGTCAGTTTCACCTGATCAGCCAAATATGATGATACTTCTCTTGACAACCTCCCGACAACCTCCCCCATCCTGCCCTTCCCTGCCCACCCCATTTTTGCTCTCCCTTGTAGACTAATCAGGATGTTTTTGACAACTTCCAGACATGGCTGGTAGGCTGAGTACACCTTGCTGGAAGATGCATAATGTAGCCCCAAATTCAGGGGAAGAGCCTCGGGGATAATGGGTAGAATTGGACATGTTGGAGGCAGAGTTTAGTGGAAGCTGGGGATTGCCTTTGATCAGAGATGTGGAGCCTGTGTGAAGCTAAGAGCAAGGCCTTGTCCCTTGGTGTTAGGCCTTTACCCCAGGCAATGCAGGCTTGAATTGCTACATAGAGGCTTCCCCTTCCTCCCACCCCATCTAAATAGTGGAACATTTTACTGGGCCTCTGTCCTCAACATGGATGTAGCATTTGCAGGAGTCGCATATGCTTATCCTTTTCTCTGCCATCTTGTGCCTTGGCTGCTTAAATATTCCCTGTTACAGGAGGGAAACCCTGTCAGCTTCAGGCCATGAGTATTTGCTTGCCTGTGAAATATTCATGCTTTTAAAAAAGGAAAGGAAAGAAAGAAATTACCTGGCTCACTGGAGACAAACCATCTGGGGTGCGCTGTGCTTGCCAGCAGGGCAGGACAAAGGCCACTAACTCAAATTTTTCTTTTCCCCCACTTTTCCTCTCTAAAAATCCGCCTCCAGATTTAAAAATAAAATGGTCACACTTGAGCAAGCTTACTTTGTGGACTGGATGGTACCCTGAAGGATTAACTTCCATCTGTGCCTCGAAATCCCACAGCGAGCCCTTCAGGACACATGATGCTTTTTAAGCGGAGTAAAGATGCCTTGGCTCAGAGATGAGCTGCTTCCCTCTGGGCTGTCCAAGGTTCTGCCATGCCTCAGAGCCCTCTTTGCAGCTGGGCCTGCAGAAGAGCTGCTCCTGCCCCCCAACCAGCTTGCTCTCATCCTACGGGGCTGGAAATGAAGGCAAAACGTGACAGGGGGAACCTGTACCTGCTGCTGCCTCAACTGGCTCTCTCTGGAGGTCACTTCACACATGAGCTGGTTTGGGTGCTGATCAAAAAATGAAAATTGGCACGTCACGAATGTGTCTCTTCATTGTCATCATTTGCAGTACCTTTTTGTGTGTTCTCGGCTCATGCATAATCCTTACAAGAGGCCCGGAAGTTCAGCATTATAACCTCCATATTTCAGGGAAAGAACCTGGTTGACTTATTCAAGGTTTCCTGGTGAGTTGATGACTGAGTCAAGATTTGGATAGGGTTTCCCAACTCACAGCTCTTTCCTATTGCGCCAAGCCGGCTTTGACTACCCTGTGCTGCTGTGCAGCTTTTGACATACCACACCAGTTCTACAATCTAGATGGGCAGACTTCGTTTCTTCTCTGATCATGCATTAGATTGGATGAAAAGGTAGTTGTCAATGCATTGGCCTGTCTTCAGAGGGTCACACTACATATTTTAAACTTTCTTATGCAAAAATAAGTGCAGGGAACTGGGCCAAATTAGAAACCCTATCATGGAAGGTAAGGAGCTTTAATAGTTTGCTCCTCACTATAGTCTTAATCTTGATCAGGCCTGCCATTCCTTCAATTTACATTGCTAAAAAGTTTTGCTTGCTTCAGTGGTCTGGAAACTAACTTTTAGCAAAATAAATGTGGGCCCCCATTCTGGGTCAGGATCACAGCAGGGGGCAAAAGGGGGTTTGAAATTGGTTTGTGATGCCTACTTGCTTTGTATGAATGGGAAATTTGTGCAAACCTCCCCAAATTAGCACAATTGTTATCAATTTTATCTGTAGACTAAAGTAGGGCTGATTCAGTATTCTGAGGAAATTTGTGTGAATTGATTTGGAAAGGAGAGATATACAAATATTTGATAATTTGTATATTTTTGGAAGATGGGTGCTTGTGCTTGGGATGGTAAACTGTGTGTGTATGATTTGTGAGAAAAAACAAAAATATCTTTCTTTGCTGGAGAAATATTAAAGGCCAACTACCTCCATGCCAGGGGCTTGCTTAGGTTTGGTTCTGTTCAGCTTACTTTTGAGTAAAGGACAAATAAATTGTAGCTACCTACATTTAACATGTAGTTTGACACTTAAGAATCTGTTAGCTTGAGGAAAATGTGCTTTCTTTGGGAGCAAATTTGTACTAATTGCTTTTTTGAAACAAGTTCTTGTATAGAAGCCGGAATTAAACTGATGATAGCACGTTACACATGACATTCCTAAGCTATGAAGTATCTCTAGGCATCAAAAGAATTCACGTAAATGAGAATCATGCCAGAAGATTTGCAATAAATCACTCGACATACCAGCAAACATATTCACAATTCACACAATCTGAATTTCATATTTGATAGCTAGTAGGGGTTGTGGCTAAGTAGTCATATTAGCCCCCAACAAATGACAAGGGATGGGGAAGAAAAGTATAGATAGGAGTAACTATTATATAGGGAACCATCGCAAGGTTATAACTTTGGTTATTCTATTTTTTTAAACAGAAATTCTTTTGGATACAACAGGAGAGACGTCTGAGATTGGCTGGACTGCCCATCCTCCTGACGGGGTGAGTACTTGTGAAAAGATCTGCACACTCAGAGCATGGCTCCATGTTGCACTGTGAAGAGCTGCCTCTGGGAGCTAAGAATTTGGAGGTTGTCCTGAGGAAGCTGGAAGGGATTACTGAGCTGTTGGGTGACATTCTCTGTTAACCCGTCCTTTATTCCTGAGGGTCTTGGGAGGGGTATCTTCTTCGGCTGTGCTCCCCTGGCACCAGCCCCACTTTACCTTCCCATAAGAGAAGGCAGGACCCACTTCATTAGAGACCCAGGGAAAGAGGTTGTTGTTGGTCTGATCCTTTGGCTTTTGTTGCCACTTGGATTTCCAATGTGGCACACATGGGTACCAATGTGCCCATGGGCACATCAGACACATGGACTCCTGGCATATGCCAAGCTCTCTGACCCTCCTGTTTTTTATTTCTTACTTTTTAAATGCTACTGTAAAAACCAAAACAAACCCCCAGGCTGGTATGTTGCAAGTGAAGGGTTGCTGTCCAGCAGCATCTGCATTTGGAGTCAAAAGAGTGGTTTTGTTTGAGAATTCTTCCTTGTGTTTAGTTTCTCAAGCAGGCTACTTTTCTTTTAATCTCAACAGCTTGGTTTCTGAGAAACAAGTTTTCTCTGACCAGCCATGCCCACCCAGGGCAGCCATTTTATGAACAGGCAAGCCCTTTCCATGGACACCATTTTGTGAGAGTATCCATGACACTCTCTCAAAATGTCAACTGTGCCCACTGACGCAAGAAGGTCAGAGACCCCTGGGCTATGTCGTACGATCATGTTTGTTTAAGGTCTGATCTTCCTACCTGACTTCAAAGTGGCCTTATGACCATGGGTTCCAGTGGGGCTTATAGGATTCTTCTTTCAGTCCCTTCCTTCCTATGGCAGACACAAAGGGGATTAGATCCCCACTTTCTCAGCCTGGCTGGCTGGGCTCCTCCACTCTGCAGCTTTGGTGGCTACAGTCTAAATGAGGAGAATGTTTGTCCTCCTCTGCCCATATGCTGCAGCGTTCTGAGCCTGACAGTTTCTCTTTTCAGCTGAGATGGTCACACAGCAGAATTGCTGCATAATGCCTTCCGGCGCAACTCACAACACACTGCTTACCTTGCTGTCTAATTGATCCGGAGCCCGAAGCAGGAGGAGCAGAGACAACTGGCTACTAAAGGAAACTACAAATAAGCACAGGTTAAAAATGGAGCAGAAGAGAATGGTGGCAGTGGCTCTACAATCTAGGGAAAGCTCTCATATTCTTACCGGCAGGAGCCTGCTTTCCGTATGGCAGCATTGCACTAGAGGAGTTATAACCGCAGCTAGCCTCTTAGCAAGAAGATTTTGGAGGTTCAGCACTTTCCCCCACAGCAGTTCTAGAGCCATTTTGCCTAGGCTGATTTTAAATGCTTAAAACACTGACCAGAACCAGATGTTGAAATATGGAGTAGATTAAAAAACAACAACAACCACCTCTGGTTAAATTTAACTGAACGCTCAGTTAAACTGGATTGAATTCATTGTCTAATACACTCTTGGAGCACAGGTTGCTAAGTGTTGAGCAGATGAGTTCTTTCTAACCTGATGCACCTGCAAAGTGGGTTTTGGCTCTTATCAAATAATGTTTATTTGTTTTTAAAGTGTTATAAGGCTCTTTTCTTGAGGTGTTCCTTCTGCAACTAATAAAGCTTTGACTCTGGAACTCACACAGCCTGAAAACCCACTCACTTTCTGAAGTGCTCTTTTATTAGCTACCCAGGGCCTCCGTGCTTTCCACTTCCCCAGAGTCTGAAAACTCTTCAGTCATTTGAGTTACTCAACTAATCAAATTTGTATCCATTTTAGCCTTATAACAAGGTAGATCAGACTAGGGAAGAGTGGCTTTTTCTGGCCACAAAAGAGCCTTCTCTCTGGTCTTAGTCCAATGTACCTCATTTGCTCTCAGTTTAGACAGGAGGTGCAAATGGTGTACTGGCAGCTCCCCCTCCCTATGCCTTCTGTGATGGCAGCACTTCCTGCCTTATATCTGGTTAAGATCAGAGATATGCAAGGGAATCACTTCCCTTATCTCTGATGAGAGAGCAGAGATAAGGTGCAGACCCATTGGGAGTGATCCTGCCTGGAGCCTCCTCCCTTTCCCAGCAAACCTGGAGCTTTACCGTAGATTAAGAGAGCATACATAAAATCTAGAGTGATTTGAATTTTTGTGAGGTTTGATATTCGTGTCAAATGTAGCATGTTCAACATCAGAAAAGCTATTCTTGAAGATCTAAGTGAGCCCAGCAGTGTTTCATTGCTTTTCATCCAAATCCTGGAATCACTTTTTAATGAAGGGCAGCACAGAAGCAGTTTAACAGTAAAATAATTGGAGGTAAAAAAGCAGTGCAGAGACCCCCAAAGGCTATTTTTGACGGTCCCGAGAACCTGAGCAGTCCTTGAGCTAGTTCAGGGCAGGAAAGTTCCCTGATGCTGGGTGTGAGGGAGCTGTGCAGTCTTTGACCCTGAGAAGCCCCTATCCATGTCCAGGGTAATGTTTAGACCAAATGCCTTTTTATACTCTCTGTTAGACCTGCTCCAACAGCCTGTGCCCTCCTTGACTGTCCCTAGAGCTAGGAGCAACTGTTTAGCAGTTGTGTGAAAGCTGGAAAAATAGTTGCCTCTTGGTTATTTCTTCCCCAACCCCTGCTCCCTACAGTGGGATGAGGTGAGCGTCTTGGATGATAGAAAGCACCTGATCCGAACCTTTGAGGTCTGCAATGTTGCTGATCCGGGGCAGAATAACTGGCTGCGGACTCACTTCATAGAGAGGCGTGGCGCTCGCCGTGTTCATGTCCGCCTCCGCTTTTCTGTCCGCGACTGTGCCAGCATGAGGACTGTGGCCTCTTCCTGCAAGGAAACCTTCACTCTTTACTATCATGAATCGGACGCCGCTGTGGCCACTCCCGAGTATCCCGAGTGGCACGAGGGACCATGGACCAAGGTGGATACAATTGCCGCTGATGAGAGCTTCTCCCAGGTGGACAGCACTGGGAAGGTGGTGAAGATGAATGTGAAAGTGCGCAGCTTTGGGCCGCTCACCAAGAGAGGCTTCTACTTGGCCTTCCAGGACTCGGGAGCCTGCATGTCCCTGGTGGCTGTTCAGGTTTTCTTCTACAAGTGCCCCACAGTGGTGAAGGGCTTTGCCTCTTTCCCGGAGACATTTGCAGGAGGCGAGAGGACTTCCCTGGTGGAGGCACCTGGGACCTGCGTGGCTGATGCAGAGGAAGCCAGCAGTACTGGCCCCTCGGGGGTGAGGCTGCACTGCAACGGGGAAGGCGAGTGGATGGTAGCCATTGGGAGGTGTGCCTGCCGTGCCGGCTACGAGCCTGCGGATGAAGAGCGGCTCTGTACAGGTGAGGAAAGGATGCCTGCCATTTTTCAGGCCCTGCCTCCTGGAGGAATTCCTAGATGAGACCAGTATTTTCCAGTGGTGGGCAGGGGCTGGCGTGTGTCAGGGCTCTTGAGTGCGCAAATACCCATCCACAGAGGGGACTGTGGTGTCTGTTCACGATCCACCTCTTGCACCCTGACTCCTTCCAGTAAGACTCTTCTGGGCAGCAGGTAAACTAGGCATGTCTCCAGGCTGAGTCCATTGGAACCATTTGAGCCACTCCCAGTGCAGAACTGAGGCTGCTGTTCTCTGTGAATATCTGACCAGTTTGCAGTAAAGCCGCAGAAAATCACCCTTTTGCAATAACATTTTAGAAGCTTTTTTCCCAATATTCATCTTATGTGACACTGCAAAAGAATGAGAGGGAAAACAACAGGACAAGCCTCCATTTTATAAAAAGCTTTCTTGCCTGGTTAGCTCAAGGTGATTCTTCTAAGCATTCATGATCAGGCAAGCAGCAATTTTACAAGCTTGCTATATGTTCTGATTCACTGATCTTTAGCCAGTGCTGAAAATCCCTCAGTGGTGTGGCGTTCTGGTGTTTTATTCCAATGGTGCTGTGCCCATTGTTTGGTGATAGAGAAAGGAAAGCTAATTGAAAAGAAGGAATACCTTAGGCCAAAAAGGCAAAAAAAAATGTGCAAGGTGATCAAAATAAAAGCGAATTCTTTATTACCAGTTTTGATTAAAGTGAACTAATTTGCTTTATGTTGTTGGTAATTACTGCCTTACAATTGTGTTGCTTTTCCAGCCCAGTTGTGCATTTATGGGCACTGAGTTGTGGCCATGGAGCAGTGTTCCAGTAGGACCATTGCTGGAACACATTTTAGAACCTCACATCTAAAACACTCTGGAAGCCTATATGTACAGTTACCAGACTTTTTCGGAACCCAGTGATTCCTACTTAATAGGACTAGTGTGTTTTGCAGGTATCCAGGTGTCTACAGACAAGTGTAGTTATTCTGGGCCTTTTTACAAGTGTAGATATTCTGGGCCTTTGAATGACTAACATTTGGAGTAACCCAGAAACCTCCAGTTTCATGGAAGTAAAAAATAGCAACAGTGTCTTCTGTAAAACAGAGGAAATACATTTCTTATCATCTCTGGTGCAAATGAGAGGAGGAGGAGGAGGAGGAGGAGGAGGAGAAGAACCTACCTCTTCTGAATGCTTCATGCATGCCAAAGGGCATAGGAGGGGAGAGGCTGGTGGCAGCCACAAATAATGCTGGACTAATTCGCCAGTCCTACACTTTTGGACCTCTCACTATCAGAAACTTTTCTGATTTGAATCCAATGGATTAAAGAGGTCTTCTGGTCCTCATTACCCCATTTTATCACACTCTTTCCCCTTTTTCTCATTAATAGCATCTGAAGTGACTGGAAGCGACTACTGCTGTGCCCACCAAATTAACAGCCAAGGCGTCTTTGCTCAGCTGTTTCCTCAGTGTGGCTCCAATAGAAAGCAGCAGCTGTTAAACAATGTATTTGCAGTATCTGGGTCCAGAGTGCAGGAGAAGCCAATTACAAGGACCTGGCTTCATTGTGGTGGGAACAACCACCTGCTTTTCCAGCATGACAGCTTTAATCTTCAGCCACTCCACAGACCTTAAAAGACAGCTCAGGCTCTCTTCTTCATTCTAGGCATTCCATATTTCTTAGAAATTCATCTTAATGTCAAAAACTGCCATTGCATAATGTAGCATTTACAGTCCTCATTACACTTTCTCTCTGGGACTGTTTGGCTGTGGCTGGCAGGCTGTGAGCTGCCATACCTAAAGCTGGGTTGGGGGTGCAGGGGTGGAGGTGAGCTTTCCAGCCCAGCATCCTTGGAATCAGCTGCAGGGGGCTTTGACTGGAAGAGCTGGAGGGACTGGGAAGAGTGGAGCTGCAGCCTGCATGGAAGCAGGAGCAAAGTGCAGGAGGGAGGAGAGGTACTGTGATGAGTGCAGTTGTCTCTCAGGTGCATCCACAGAGGGTGGAAACCATGCAGGGCTGCTTGTGCTGATCTTTGGACCCAGCCAGTGCTCTGGGTGCCCAGTGTGATGGGGCCCTGTGTGTAGAGGGGGGGTGTCTTGTTTCAAGTCCTGGCATCTGCATCATTGGGGTTCCCACTCAACCAGAGTTCAAACTTGCTTCAAAAGTTCTTTTAGTGGGAACCCCAGTTAAATCAAGCTGCAGTGGATGGTCGTGTCACTTGCAGTTACACCTAGGAGGGGGGACTCATGTCCCAGAGGAAAAGAGCTGGAGGGAGTATGCAGACCCCCAGCTCACTCCAAAGGGGGGACATTTTGTGTGCACAAAGGCAGAATGACTTTGCCGAACAAAAAGTAATGTGCTCGCCTGATCTGGGGGCAGGAATGATTTTCTGCAGTGCTTGTGATGCATATAAATGAACATTCAGCCAGTGTGCTGGGCCTGAGACCCTGCAAAACCACTGGGGGCAGCTTAAAGATCGTCCAAGTGTTACTTTTAATATACATACAATGGGTTGAGGGAGGCAGATTTGCAATTTTAGGAACACCTTCCTTCGCAGCACATTTAAATTTTTGCTTTTGCTCTTGAGAAACTTGGAGAAAATAGGGGTGTTGGTTGCCAACGTCTTCTGAACTTTAATCATGTCAGGAATGCCATATCTCATCTCTGTCTAGCCTTTTAGCTGGAATGTTTCCTGTTTGACTTGAGGTGTGAAATACTTGAAAGATGTTTATGGAGTGGTGGGAATTATTCTTTCTTTAAAGGAGCAGTTTCTCTGTGCTGTGCATCAGAATCATGCTTTCTAACAAAGAAATAACCTCTCCCTGCAAATGATCCAGTGAGGTGGCAGGGAGAACATTTCCCCAGTGCTCATGTATGGGAATACCAATGAAACATACAATGCAGAAACTATAAATTTCTGAAGTTAATTGTCCTCTGTTCCCACTTTTTACTTGCCCCATTAGTTTCACCACCTGAAAATCTGATTGTCTGTCCTGGGGAAAACAGCTCAGGTAAAAGGTGTACTATGCAGAGTTCTAGGGAAATGATTGTTTGAACATATACAAGGGGTTTTTTTTTTTTTGCGGGGGGGGGTGCATGGGTGGAATGATGTCACGCCTCCCAGTTGCTGTTTTCAGATCTGAAAACCGAGAATCAGAATGTGTTTCCTAGTCCTGTCACGCTGGACATGCATCACGTAGGACAGGATAACTTCAGTAGAGCACAATCTGATCTGGTATTTCTGGGGGCACAGAAAGTCAGTTGACAGAGAAAGAAAGCATTTTCATGAATTTATTTTACAGTATTTAAAAGCTGTCCTATAACATTTTTGAACATAGTGATGAAAAATCCTTCAAAAGGGGAGGTGAATTTGACATTGCTGGAAACATTGCAGCTCATACATAATTACAATAGCATCCACTTTTGAGCAGATGGATGTGATTTGTAGAAGCCTCTCTTGATATGCAGATTGACTAAATTAATGTTTTAAGGATTTGGCTGATCTTTGCCTGCTGAATGGATGGAAGCAAAGTCAATCCAACCCCATCTCTTTGGCAGAAATGTGGCATACCCCCAGGACCCCACAATCAGTTCTGGATGTTTTATACCTATGCATTAACTCTTGTGGCCTCGGGTTTATTGATTGCCAGTGTGAAGCAGTGCTCTGACTGCAGTGCTGTACGCCCACTGAATTCCCATTGTGGATAGTGGGATTTGCTTCTGAGTGTGCTTTCACAGAGCAGTCCTCTGTTCATATGACCAAAGCTTTGTTACTTTTTTGCCAGTGGCACTTTGCCTGTATCCCCAAGAGCACTTGAGAATGACAAGCATCCTTGCACAGAGGCAGGGTTTTGTTTCCAAGGACAACTCGGCAGCCCTTTGTCGCTGCCTGGTTCCATCTTGGCTGATTCCTGCCCAAAGAGTTTGTTAGGGAATGCTCAAGTCTAAGTGCTAAACCCCATGGAGTAATAAAGGAGGACATGTATGGTGCAGGGTGTGAATAGCAGTGATTTTCAGTGATGAACATGCCATTGAGTAGAGTAGCAATAGAACTGAAAGGGCTCTGCAAGGCCATTGAGTCCAGCCCCCTTCTCTGTGGTCACCCATGTAGTCACCCATCTGGCCTACTCCTTTCCAGCTTAGCAAAGATGACTTGACATGCTAGGTAGATGTATATTATACTTGTTAAAGGTTACTGTTCTTAAAAGGCAAGTGGGTTGCCAAGACTGCCCTCAGTTCAAAAACAAACACATGGCAATCAAAGGCATAGTTTGTTTCATAACTGGATGATGATATCTGTATATGGTGCACAATAATTAAGATCTCTGTTGCATTACTTAAGAGTGACTTTTGTGAAATCTAATGTTGTACTGGAGCTGCACTGGAAAAAATGCTTCTGTAGCTTTGTGTCCAAAACACATGATGCTGCATGAGGGAATTTGCAGAAATACCAGGACACAGTTTGCCAATTTCCGGTGGGAGCTTCCATTTTGCAGAACTCCTTTGCCAGCTAAGGTGCATTGTCCTTGCTTGTCTTTGGGGAGAATCCAGACATGTTTGTTTCAGCAAGCCCTTAACCTCCCCATGAGAGTTGAATATGATTTGGCTTTGATTTCTTAAACTATGTTTTGTTTATTTTTTTTAATTAACTGTTATAATTTGCCATGCTGAAAATAACACTATGGTGATGCACAAAAATAATCAAGACTTTGGTTAGAGGACAAAGACTGCAACTTGAACAACTCTTAACATCTTGCATGGTTGTTTTTGTGAAAAGTGGATGCACATTGTACTTTAAATAAAACAGAACTATAAGGGCACACTTCTAGGATAGCTGGCTGGGGGGATGTAGGCCTTCTTTCTGTATAAACATGCATGAGGGTGTATTAAAATGCTGAAAAGGAGGCTTTTGTGCCCACTAGCAGAGATGTGTCGGGCAAAGGAGGAGGCCAGCTGCCTTCCGCCAACTTGCAGCATTCCCTTGGG